AACCTCCAGACAGAAAACAAACCAGACGAGGCGAAATCCTAGGGAGGAAACAAAACTCCTTACAGTCACCAGAAATAATCCAACGGCTCCAGCAGGCAGGGGCAGAATTACAGACTCTCCAAAAACTTCTGTCACGTAGCTCCTAAAGAACACTTCAGAAGAATGCATCTGATGAGTAACAGGTGTGCCAGGTTCAATGACTTACTGCCCCGCCTACCTATACTAAAAGGGAGGCACCCAAAAACACATACAGACAAAAACACCACATAACCAGAACCCAACTCCTAACACTTACAGCTGTTACCCATCCCTTCACTGTCACATACATCATCTGTGACTGGCTGATGTTGGTTAGTGAGATCGAGGTGGTAGGTGGCTCCAGAAGCAGCCTTGCTTCGTCCTCCAGCTGCTGACTGACCTGGATGGGCACACTGACTTACACTGCCGTGTCCTTACTGGAAAGCATTGTTCTTGTGCTTCCAAATGTGGTCATTCTAAAATTTCTAATTGTATAGGTTTTACCCTCTTTAAATTGTGAGGCCAAGCTTTCAAATATAACAAATCTGAACACATTTGTCCCGTCACATACTGCCGCACTTGTATTATTGTGGACAGCTTTGGGCCTTGCACTTCCATCAGAGAAATGCCAGCCAGTGACTTTAGGGGTTTCTTTAAGATACACCACTTTCACCGTTAGGGGTGGCAGCCTCTTGTATGGCTCACTGGTATTGCGATGAGGTTTTGATGAAGCCATTCTGAAATTACACACACAAACACACCCGCACACAGAGAGAGAGTTTTACGAGACACGATAATGTCCATTCGATTAAATAGGACAAACACAAAAACCTGATGTTTTATATATTTCCCTTGAGCCTGTGAATTAAAAATAATCTTGATGTTTGTGTAGGCCCTCGGTCATCTTATGCATGTTAGTGTTAAAAACGTGAAAGAAGGGAAGGTCTTGATAGGTTAAAGAAGTCCAATCACATTAATTTAAGCTCTTAAGACGTCTTTCTTGATATCACACACTCCGTGCAGTAGGAGGCGCCACATATCGTTAACTCTGGATTCATGCATGCCAGGAACAGAGTAAGTGCTGCAGCTTCGGATCCCACGGAGTCACGGGGAGCTCATAACATGGCACGGGGCAACTGAGAGAAAATTGTAAACCCGAACATGCATGTAAGACTTATACGTTTTTCAATGCTCTCTGTGTTAATAACTTGTAATGTAAACGTCACAGTTAATTAGCCAAGAGTGTACAAAGAGCACATGAATGCAAGAGTGTAAAACTGTGTGGCTAGCGGTCAGTGTACCTGCTACGGTGCTGCAAAGATGTGAAATTCGCACAGGTGCTTATGGCTTAGTTAACATAAGCAGAGCCCTTATAATTAAGAAGTATGTCACATTGTGTTATTTGTATGCTAAGAATATCTGTTAAAAGGCATATAGCCTTCTGTAGTCTACATCACCGTTTTATGTTCTGGTCTTTGCATACATCACGATAACTGAAAAAAAATGAAAAGGAAAAAAGTGGCTAATGTTTAAAAAAAAAAACAGTAAAAAGTTCTAAGGTAGAACTGCACAGGCTTCAGTTCATAGGTACAAGAGGGTGATATCTCAATCCCTTCATAAGAATCTTGGAGCCTCTTAATCATGTCACTGAGGAGTGAGAATTTCACCATCACTGCTGTACCACGATTACGTGACCATAGTGGTAGAGGAAGACCACTGGGTGTTCTGGAGTGTGGATCAAAGAAACCATATTTGCCTGAATTGGATCTGAACACTGCGATACACAATCCACTCATAATCAGTAAGGCATACTGCACATCTGACAACAGGCAGCTCAGTCCTGCTTCTAAGATCAGAAATGTATCTACTGTTTCCTCTGGAGGTTCTTCATATGTCCCATACCGGGAAGGCTGTGTCATGTCAACATGATATATAGACCTGCGATCATCAACTTTGTCTGGAAGCTCATCGGTTGCCAAATGAATATTTTTTGGAAATCTTTTCTTGGCCTCTTTGTACATCATATCACCTTTATCCAAGACCAGATTAAGGTCAGCCGTAGTCAAGTTTTCATTCGCATGAATCAAAGCAAGAAATATGAGTGAGTTGCATATGCACTGACTGTTTCTAGAGTCTTCATATTTAGGATGAGCCTGGCTGCACAGACATGTGTTACAGAGGGCTGGTTTTCAAGGTTCACTGTTTCTGCCTATTCCTCTGCGGGGCAACCTGCATATGGCCAATAAAGCATTCATTCATTCATTCATTTACAGCATCAGCATAAGATACCTGTTGTACATGTGCAGGAACATGTTGACCTGCCTGTTTGACACCATCAGCATTGGTCTTTGCAGACACACTGTCTTCTCTGAGGAAAATCACACTCAGCTTGTTCACATGTTGGTACACTGTGAAACTCATGGAAATTCTTCCAGCGAGCGTTATACTTCTGCAAGCCTTAGCATTGCTGCTAGAGTTAACACTGCAGCTAGCGCTAGCAGCGCTAGCTCTCTTGCTGTTAAAAGTGAGCCACACTGGCAATAACAAAGCTCATTTGTTACTTTTGTCTCACTGAACACCAATAACTATCACAGGAATACTCTTCTTGGCAGGTAACAACTGCTAAGACATTATAGCTAGCGTTAGCATTGTTGCTAGCATTAGCATTGTTGCTAATGTTAGCACTGTTACTAACATTGCTAACGTTAGCACTGCTGCTAACAATAAATTTTATAAACCTAAGTCATAGAAACGTCATTCTTTTTTAATCTTTCTTTTTTCTTTTAACTTTGCTGAACTTTAAAAGGACTTGTCATGTGAGTTTAAATGTCAGACATGTATTTTTACCAACACAAAAATAAAACAGTCCAGCACTGAGTGTATTGTACTTACCACAGCAGAGAGCAAAGCGGAATGAGGACAGTTGGGCTCAGTGATGGGTTAAAAACAGATGAGGCGTCCGGGTGGTGCTTGGAAATTTGAGAGTCAGTTTGAATACCAATCAATAATGGCATCTGTGAGTATTTATGGTCGTGTCCAAATTCATGGGCTGAAGAACAATACTGTGAATGCTTTTCAAGCATTCAAACTAATTATGAATGCAGAAAAGTAATATCAGGTTTTGGATCCACCATGCATTACCATCTGCAAAGTGTCTGATTGGCAGTGGCACCGCTAATTCAGTAAAATTGTACCTGGATAAAAAACACACAACAGAACACAAGAGTCATGGATTGGACTCCCCAGAGCACAGACCTCAACTCTTGTGTATTGTATTTTCATGTATGTTTGCACCTTTTACCCAACAACATATAAATAAATGAGGGGTCACATGAAGACTTTTTCACAGTACTTTATATATGCGCATTAAGGAAAAACTCTTTATGCGTTACACTGTGGTAATAAATAGTTGTTGTTTGTTTTTTTTTCCATTTGCACCATCCTCCATCTGTAACCAGGTGTTCCACCTCTGGAAAAGCAGACTCGTGAAATAAGTGACCTTGTCTCATATGGCCAACATCATCAGGACTGTGCCATAGAGGTCCACTAATGCACATTAATCCTCCAACACAATGACCCCAATCCCTTAAATCTGTCAACAGGGAGCTGATGCTCCAGATTACAGATCGAGCTGTAATGATACTAAGGAACTCCTGTCTCGTTTGAAAATTCACACACAATTTATGATTTACAAACTTCATTATATGCAGTAGTAATGGCTGCTGTGCGTCTGGATCTCAGTGGATTACCGTACTGCCAGTATAAAGTGGCTGGGATTATACTTTATAATGCTGTTTTCCAACCGCTCCTTTTTCAGCAAAATCTTGTATGAAGAGTATGAGTAACTGAAATCCTCTCTCAAAACTGTGATAAAGCCAAACATTTCACGCTGACATCATCTAAATGGCATTTAGTTTATATGTAGGAGACCGAGATTGGATGAATCTGACAGCAAAAAGGTTTCCAAAAAGCCACAGCATTTCAGTGGAAAAGCACGGTGAGACATATTTTGTTATTGTTGTCACACAAACTGTGCAGCTTTTATATCTTAATCAGTTCTGTGTCTGAACTTTTGAGTTCGGAATTCTGCCCTGTTTGATACAGAAGGTCCACAATCAAAGATGCTCAGCTATGATCCAGCACAGAGACAGCTTTAAATCACCGCTTATCTCTGTTTGTTTACTTTTTCTACTGTTGCTGGACAGATAAATCGACTGGAAAGGAGAGACGGGTTGTGCACATACAAAAACGCTGGGCCTGTAGGTAGAGAATTTGGGAGAAAGTTATTAAAATTGCTTTTATCAACACTCTAAATCCACCCGATGCTGTTGTGCAGCAGAGAGTGACAATGTGCGCTGACATATCCAAAGCTGCCAATTCCTGAGGTGCGTGGCATCAGATTATCTGGGCTTCTTTAAGCTGGTGAGGTTGTTTATGCATCACAGTTACAGAATGCAATTTTAAAAAGGTGTAGCTGTGGTCACCTCAGAGACACAGGAAGGGGGGCTGGAGAAAAAGAGACAAATGAGCCATGAGATATAATATGCAAGCCTGAACCATTGATAAAATACCTGGAATTCTTTGGGGACACAGTCAGGCTACACAGAATGAGAATCAGTTTTTTTCTGCTGAGTTTTTTCATCCTCTCAGTGTACAAGTCATTTTATACAGCAGGACAAAATCCTGGCAGGCACAACAAATACATTGCTGTCAGAGTGACATTTCCATGATAAAATCAACCTTAAATGACATTCAGCTGTGATTAAACAAAATCAAATCCCACGGATTCCTACTAAAGCTTTAGCCTGTAATCCAAACCATTCACTGTACTTTCCTATGAATCGCTTTACTATTTAAAAAAACAAAAACAGTAGCTGAATTAAATCCATTTTCAATTATAAAAAGAACCAATCTATTTTCTCTTTATTGATAGAATCTTGCAGGAAATACACATCACATTTTGGATTTAAAAAAGCAGGATGTCACAGAGAAAAAAAGGCATTTTATTTTCATTCACACATGAAAAATCTTACAGTCGAATGAATATGTGCACTGTGAGAACAGACCAAGATTACACGTTTTTTACAATTTGTAGAAGCAGGCTCCCAGGAGAAGCCCGAAGCCCAAGGTATCTCTGTTAAAAAAAAAAAAAAATCAGGAACAATGTCCATCTCAAACTCTGCAAAGACTATTTGCATAGCCTGCATTTGATTTGAATAAATATCTGGCGGAGACTGTAGTGACAGATTGCTCAAAATAACTTGATAAATGTTGCATATTCTCTGACAAATTGCACAGAGTCCTCAGGTATTCTCTAGAGGAGTCCTACAAAAAGTACAAAAGGCTGGAAAAGAATAGAATTACTAACAAGAAACAGTCCCTCCTGTACTGGTTTTTACCCTGAACTGAGCAATATCTGGAGCTGTTTCTGCAGGAGCAACAGAACTGTTGAAATGTAAGAGGAGATGAAAATGCAGTTGTCTTGAATTTGAAATGTGGAAATAAGTAACATAGCATAGAGAGTGTTTGTTAATATTTACAGAAATAAATTGGAGCCTATAGATTTCTTTTATCAGAGGATAAAACATGCAAATTTCTTTTAATCTTACTAATAAACATCACTTCATTTTCATGTGCACAGGTTTGCACATTATATAGAAAATGTCATTCACGTAATCACATATACATCCTTTTCCCTTTTTTTTTAATAAAGAAAAATTAAAGACTTTGTTTTCCTTTTATACATCCTTTACACATACACACACCTAAACAAACTCACTGGGGTTCTCCTAGAGGTTTCACTACAGGCCATGGCATGTCAGGCAAAGGTGTTTGAGGTTCAGCGGGGGCCTGCTGTTGCTTTTGCTTCTGCTGGTTGGCCCAGTCTAACTCAACACTGTTCTTCTTTAGCGCAGCCAAGTGCTTGATGTCCAGCGTGGTGAAGGTGGTGAACTGGACCTGGTTTCTCTTACTGGTGGGGGAATGAAGAGGTTCACTGCGGTGTGGCCTCGCCAGTAGGGTAGCTGAACGATTTGCCATGGGGTCAATTGCCTTTCCTTGAAACTGCTGGTGCTGAGAGCTGTTCCTGCTTCGTCCTAAGGTTGCAGTTCTTTCTGGGACAGCCGCAGCGCTCACTGTAGGCAGATTGCCTTCCAGGCTGCGATGACCCATGGAATCTATCGAGTGGCGGGACTGCAGAGGGCAATGAGGCTCACGTTTTAGTGTGGACACTTGAGCCGGGGCACCTGAGGCAGGAGCACTGTGATTGCTGTTCCCAAGCCAAACCCAGTCGTGTTTGTGATCCTTTGTGTCTCCACTGGGGGCTGTGCCTGCCTGTATGGGGGTCTTTTGTTTCCTGAAACAGAGACTATAAGAAGCACAATTGAGCAGAAAAGCCAAGATGGCAACACAGGAGACCCCCACCAAGGCATACATGCCAATTTCCATGTCAGTCATAGCTTTGAATGTCCTAATGAGGTCACTCTCAATTACTTTGGGAGTTTTAGATTTAGGAGGCTCTTTTTCGGGTCTAACTTCTACCTTAGGAGTATCATTCTCAGGAGAGGCATCGGGGTTGTCAAGCATGTTTCCATAACTTACCCCAGGCCCTTCCTCTTTACGGACAACACCCACTGTTGCTGTGGGTTTGGCAGTGCTAAGTTGTGTATTTAAGTTTAATTCCTTTATTCTTGTAGGTGAAGCTGCAGTAGAAACAGTATAGGTGGAACCTTTTGGCGCTTTGGTTGCCTTTCCGATCCAGACAAGATGGGCCTGTGGATTTCTAGTTGAAAATGTCGTTGGAGTGGTAGTTTTTACCAGAATAGACTCTTGCTGATCAGATATGTTGGCCCTGTTGAGCTGTTTATCCATCTCTGTGGCAGCAGTACTTGTTTTGCCCATCACTTTTGATGCACTGCCATTTAAATCCTTACTTCTGTCAGTGCTTCCTTTCCCTTCTCTTGCTACACTTTTGCTACTACTCTGTAAGTTGATCTTGAGAAGCCCCGAGCCCACTGCCAGCTTGCTCTTCCTTTTAGATTTTTGGCATTCCTCACAGATCCTCAGCTCCACTCTCACTGGCGCCCCCTGGCCTTCACCTTCACCCTCTGCTACTACAAATGCTGACTGTGGAGTGCGGCGTATTGTGGCCACCCGCTCATCTGGGGTAGAAACAGTCAGAGAGTAGATACTGCGGTCAAACAGGTCCAGTGGAGCAACTGCCCCATCGCTGAAAGAAACCCAGCAGCTGACCAATGCTTCCTATGAAAGAAAGAAAAAATGTTATATGTAGAAAATCAGGTCAGAATACCGGTGGTACATCAATACCTCCCTTGGGCTATAGTCTCATTATTGTTAATAACATTAAACTGCCTATGCCAATCCCTTTAAAGTTAATCTCTTCATAGTAAATGCCAGTAAGTAGTTTATCTAAAGTTATCCACTCTGGTTGAATTGCATTTCATACCATAAAGATATTATGAGAGTCTTATAAACGTCCTTCAAAAAGAAACCCAAAAAAGAAAAATTAATTAACATGGGTCACATTAAGAACAGAATTGGCCAGTCAAATTACATTAATGCACAGTGACCTATTTCCTGTAGCTAATGTGAGTTACTGACTCGCCAAAGACCTAACCTATATTTTGGATTTGAATACATTATAAATGGCCCTAAGCAAAACATTAACACCCCGCCATCACAGACACAATTGGCTGGTCATGGGCACTGGCATGGTTCTAATAGTTTGTTATTGACGGGGCAGATCAGCAACAGTCACTGTGTACTGGAGGTAAAGTGAGTTGTCGTTCCAGCAGCTATGGACCGCCTAATTGCTGCCCCATGCCTGCGACAGGGAGCTGGTTTAAAATGGGCAGGCTGCCATGGCTAAATGTGTGAGTGAGCTTTTAAAATGATCATCTATGCACCCTGTCTGCCTTTCCCGCTCTTTCACACAGCATGGTGGTTGGAGATGATGGTCGAGGCTGTGAACACAAAGAACTCCTATTCAAAGAGGCGAGGAGAAAACACAAATATTATTAAACCCCTGAGGTCACTGGTATGGGAATCTGCTCTGCTGCGGCAGTACTTTTAATTCAAGTTCTTTCTGTAGGAGGCCATTATATCTTTGTTGCAGGATGAATATTTAGGATATGTTAATAACGTACTACTTTATTATGGCAAGTTCAAGTGTAATTTTAAGGGCTGTCTCAAAAGGTTTTCAATGAGAAACATGTTTTTATGTTGCTTATACTACCTCTGCTCCTTGTGTGCAGGAACAGCTGAACCCTAACTGGAAAAACCCTTAAATGAATGCTGAACAGTGCATTTATGACTCAAGGCATTTCTCTTCTTGCACTTTTATTTGCAATCCTTGAAATTCAGACTGCGATTAAAGAAGCTGAAAACCTTCATGATATATGAGAAAGCCAACCTGCAATGCTCTCACACTGGGATGTTTCAGACTATAACAAACCATAAAGGCTTTTCTTCTTCTTCTGCTTTTGGCTTCTCCCTTTAGGTGTCACCATAGTAAATCATCTACCTCTGCCTCTGTCCTAAGCCCCAATCTCAACCCTATTAAACATTTGCGGATTACACTTAAAACCGAGGTCTGTGCCAATTCTGCCAGGAAGGACGGTCAAATATCCAGACAGAATTATGCCAGAAGCTTTTTAATGGCTACCAAAAGCATGCAGTTGAGGTGTAACCTGCTGAGAGGCATCTTACCAATTATTAGTAGAGGTATAAGTATATATTTGAGCCTGTATGTGTACTTTTAGCCATGTGTGGATTAGAGAAAATCTAAAATAACATCAAATTTGTGCACTTAATTCTTGTTTTTTTTAAAGTCACTAAAGACGTGCTGTTTAATCATTCCATCCTGGAAAAAAGTTCAAATAAAACATCAAAACCAAAACCACCATGGCATACATTCCCATAATCAGTATATGTAAATTTCTGAAAACAACTGTATAACACACAAATGACATGTAGTGTATGAGGACTTGTTTTCAAATGAAAAAGTGGAACTTTTTTTCTTTAGACTTTTTAAATCTGCTAAGAGTACAACAAACAATGTTGGACTACAGAGACAAGACTGTGAATGCAATGATGTTATTTATGCTCTTGCTTTATTATGCATGCATCTGAATAACTGTTTCCAGGCTGGTGTCACTAATAAAAGGAGGGAATTTGTCAGTGGAGCTTGGTGATGAATGCCAGGAGGCTACTTGTTAAATGTCTACACCTCCACAGAACAACGACAGAAAGATGTTTTATGACAAAGGCTTACAAAGTTAAGAAAAAGAAGGAAAAAAGACAGACTGTGCACTCTCACAATCAACATTTAAACACACAAAATCTGCAAATTCTGAGTTCCCGTGATCTTAGCTAAGCTGTCTTATGATATCCTGCCTATGGGGACAAGTCTGATAGACACTTCCACAGCAGCAGATCAGAATTTTCAAAGATGCAATTTTAAAGAAAAGTTCATATCAGGGATTCTCAACTTGTTTTTTTTTTTCTAGGGGCACTCTTGCACACTCTTGCACAATGATATGAGGCTGATCATAATAAAAAATATTATTCATCAGATAAAAATGAAAACGGCAGCATAAAGGCCCTCGCTCATCTTTGATTGAAAGGATGGATGGATGGATGGATGGATGGATGGAAACACAAATGGAAAAACAACTGCCACATACACATGATCAGATGGATAGATGGATGGATGTTTTGGTATAAAGTGGTGTTGAGGGACTTCTTCAAATAACATGAGTGTATTTTCTATCAGTTATCAGTTCAATTTTAGAATACATTTCATGCCCACTTGGTAGATCTACTAATCCTGTTCATAAAAAAATGTGATTGAGTATCATATGATCAAGCAGTTATTCTGTTTTCCCAGTGAAATGTTTGCAGTGAGGCTAAAAATGAATAACTCTCAAATTAACATGCATGAAAAATTCTATTTTCATGCTTGTTAAGTATCATCATGAACAAATGAGATGTGCTTTAAACTGGCATGCTTTTGTGTGAAACAATTTTCCAGCTGCTCACCTGTTTGCGCTGCACGATCGTCTCCTTAGTGGTTGCCGTGGCAACAATAGCCCTGTTGCTCCCTGGACTGAGCTGCAGGGACAGAGAGAGCCCAGACACCAACTGCACTCCGAGCTGTGTCACACTCACTTTATCATCCACCACCCTGATGCTCGTCTCAGCCAGGACCGCTGACGTCAGAGGGGACAGCACCTGCAACAAGTTCATCCTTCTTCCAGCTAAAGATGGATATTGCACAATGCTCACACCACACTCACACAAACACAGTAAATGACTCACCTGTACAGTGGTAGTGCCCACAGCCCTTCCTTGCAGCAGCACCCCATCCTGCACCCTAGCTACATCCGGATCTGCTATGTTTAGAGAATAGCGTACAAGGTTGGTGACATCTATCTGCCAATCAAAACAAACAGGAAAAAAAGGTTAAGCACTGTGTGGCAAAAGGTCAGGTGACTTTTAATCATAGCACAAGCATATAAAGAAAACCTATCATCCTCTTCTTTTGAAATGTGACATGTATAATTACTATGACTTCCCTATACTTACAAAGCATGACACTGAAGAATGGGCATGTCAAGCCTTATAAAACCTGCTGACAAGTGAGCTTTATTTGGAAATGTTAAAATGCTTGTACCTGCCAATCAGAACCCAGAAAGTATTCAACTGTTTTTTCCCCAGTTAACGGGTCTGGCAGTGCCTCAGTGTCAGGCTGGGCTACAAAGGGTGTGAGCACCCTTACAGTAGAGTGCTGATACTGTAGCATGCAACCCCTGCCTTTCCTCATCTCCTCCTCTTCTTCACTGTCCCATGTAGACCTGACACACACAAAAAGCATAGGGACACAATGAGCTACACGTTTCTTGCAGACAGGTGGCTATAGAAGTATATTGCCTGTTTTAATATGTTTAAATATATACAGTAGTAGACACTTAGCACAGGTTATCAGAATGACTGCAAGCCTTATAAATATATATGTGTTGCAGTTAAGAGTGGAGAAATTATACCAACAAAGTCAGACTTGCTATCTCTACCTGCTTGCAGTGGTGTACATACAACTGACACAAAAAAAATAATTTATTTATTCTTTAACAATAAGGACTGGTGAGCTGAAGGAAAACCGAAGACCAGCAGTGAAGCTGTTGCTATTATAGAGGCACAATGCATGCTGAGTGACCTTTTCCGCTAAATGAATTGAAGTGAAATTAAACAGGATCCCACGGCTGAGTGGTTTGTTTATGGGTGATAGAGGTTAAGCTGTGAACCATCCTCAAACCCCTCAGCAATGATCATATAATTATCATACACGCAGCTGGTCTGCCACACACTGCACCACAGGTGTGCTGGAGGGTTGGAGAATATGTTTTTACACTGCAGGCGCAAAGTTCCTGTCAAGAGCTACAGTCCCAATAAACATCATTATTATATAGCCTAAGGTGAGAGCTTAACGTGATGGAAATGCTGCTTAAATCAGCGTGACTCAACATCAGACAGCAAAGTTACTTTAAATCTAGTTCGTGAAAATGATCAGCATCTTGCTGGCCTTCCATATGCAGGGAATGAACAGGACTTATTTTTTGCTCCATAAGATACTTGTACTAGTTCTGTTCAGAACTTTTGAGCCACCCCTCATTTCTTTATATTTTGCTACCAAGGAGTCAGACTTTTTTGTACTTTTTAAAAGTGGTCATGAGAAATATTTCTCCGGGCTTTCTGGAAGTCTTTCAGAGTTTTTTGGACATTGGCTGCTTTTTCACTTCTCTATCCAGTTCTTGCACTTCATAATACTGACCTATGAATCATTCACCCAGGGATGAACCAGGGTTGCGTCTGCACATAAAAACTAAAGCTTAGTAAAGAAATTGTTTGAAATTGTGTCCTTAGGCACTTTGTTACTAGTTCCCTATCACAAAATACATTATTTGTTCCCATTTATTTTGTTTAGTCTAAAAAATGTCAAAGATAACACAGTTTAATAGGCATTAAAATAATATTTTTGCACCAAACAGGTGATTCCCAAAGAACTATAAACCAAAAGTTGGCATATCACAAGGTGGGTGTGCAATGGACAAGTGTAGAACAGAAGAATAAGTGACATCCGTAAAAAAAACCCAAAAAAAAAAAACCACTACCTACAAGAAATAAACAGTATCTGAAAATCACATCCACCAAAGACCTGAAACAAGGCCTGAGAAATGCATCTGGCCCTTCAGCAGATCCATCTACTATTTACTGAGTCTTTCAATCTTTCATGAAGCCATTCTCAAAGGAAACAGAGAGAAAAGGCTGAATAAACTTTATTTATACAGCACCGTTCACAGGTCAAAAACTACAAAGTGCTTTACAATAAAAACAGGCATAAGAAACACAGAAGATAAAAACATAAAACAGAATATATATATAACATCATACAACCTAAAACAAGTTAAAAGCCAGTCTGATTAAATGAGTTTTCAGCTGCTTCTTAAAAAAAATCAGCAGAATCAAGACAACACAAACAGAGGGAGGGAATTCCGCAATCAGGGACCCACAACTCTAAAGGATTTATCCCCTCTGGTCTTAAAATGAGTTTGTGGGATTGTTAACAGCCTTAGACTGAAAGATCTCAGACTGCGAGAAGAGGTGTAGGATTCTAGAAAGTCAGAAATATAGGCTGGGACTTGACCACGCAGGGCTCTCTGGTACAGAAAACGGCAGCGTTCTGTACCAACTGGAGACGGTCAAGATCCTCTTATTCAAACATTTGAAAAGGCTGTTACACTAATCAAGAAGAGATGAAATAAAGGCATGAATAATCATCTCTAACTCAGCTTTTGACACAAGAGTTTGAAGTTTAGAAATATTTCTAAAAAAAAAACAAAAAAACAAAACAAAACAGTTTCTCATTAATCCACCAGTGGTTTAAAAATGTGTGGCAACAGAGAGTGACAAATCCAAATCTGGACATTTTTGGTTACAATGGTTGTCAATATGTACAGAGGAGTTCAGAAGAGAAGTGCAACAGTGAATGTCAACAGCCACCTCTAAAAAATGGTGGATGCTCTGTCACAGTTTGGTGCTACATTTCACTCAGTGTTGTTGGGGATCGCTTTAAAATTGACTGAATTATGAATGCAGAAAAGTATATCCATGTCAACCCGTAAAATTTGTGCAGGTTACAGAGACTTTACTAGATCACCTGCAAACTGTGACAAACTTTTATAGTTTAAACCCTAAATATGCATTTGGGCAGCATCTTAGGGATTCAAGATATCGACACGCTGTAAACTGTTATGATGTGCGAATGCTGGACTGCCAGAGATGGAATGAAGAGAGACAAATAAAGCTTTCATGGGTACCCATACTTCCAAACCTTTGATAACACGAGTACTTGACCATGCAAAGCTGCTGTTTCCTCTTAAAAAAAAAAAAAAAAAAAAAAAAAAAAAAAACTGCCAAGGATCTTTGCAATTTTTCCTGCGAACAACTATTAGTTGATTCTTCTTTAGAACCTGTGAACAACTAAGGTTGAAAACTCTGAACCACGACTAGAGTTGGATGTCTCGAGACTGGTCTTGGTCTCGAGACCACTTTTACATGGTCTTGGTCTTGTCTTGGTCTCGATGGACTTTGGTCTTGGTCTTGTCTTGGTCTCGGATTCCTCAGTCTTGTCTCGGTCTTGCTGTCTCAGATCGACACAGTGGTCGGGAGATTTGGAGTCAACAGTATCCATGACACACAACCTAAAGTTTGATAATGTGTCATGCGCAAAAGCATCGGCTCGAAGAGCCATGTTTAGAGAGTGCTTTGTAGTCAATCAGAAGAGTCGACTCCCATTGAGCGAGAGCCGGCTCCTCACTTAATTTCCTTTCACTGCTCAGCTCTCACACAGTGGCTCAGCTATGGTCCAATCCCTCCATATTGTGGCCAATCACATGCGAGGATATAGGATAATATCATTATGTGAAAAACAGAGAGGGTGAGAGACGCGACAGTCAAGTGGAGCTTGTGTCTGTCCTCTCAGTAAACGAGTAAGACAGTAGACAGCGGTGAGGAGGGCTGTGCGAGTGCATCGCAAAAAACACATAAATATGCCTGACACCCGTAAACGAAGCAACATCTGGCTGCAGTTTAAGACTTTTTTGTCTCGGTCTTGGTTTTGGTCTCGTCTCGACTTTGTCTTGGTCTTGACTCGGTCTGTCTTGGTCTTGTCTTGGTCTCGATACCCTCTGGTCTTGGTATTGTCTTGGTTTAGGCGGTCTTGACTACAAGTCTAACCATGACTTCACAGGTTATACTGTAGTCAGATTTTGCAATACCATCTGCATCTGAGATAAATGAAGAAACCTTTGACTGCCCTTCAAGAAGTCTGGAGAAGCTAAAAGCTACTTAATTATAAGAAAGCTGTCTAAGAGAGTTCAGGCTGTGCTGACAAAGTGCTCATACCACCTATGAGTTTCAAGCTCATTAGAACTACGCAAACTCTGTTTTTGCTCTTTATTATTTATTTCCATGTATGTTTGGATATGCTTTACTAAATCACTGCAAGAAAAATGTAAAGAAATGAAAGATGGTAAAAGACATTTGCACAGTGATGTATATTTTGCCCTTGATTTTTAAGATTTCAGAGAGTAGCTTTTAAAAACACTGTACCACAAAACATTGAGATTTCTATGTTTCCTCACTTTTCAATTCGTTTTTTCAATAACCCTTAAACCAGCACGCCTTTTTAGGATTGCTAGGCTGCAAATCAATAATCACAGTATTAGTGTTAATTAAACAGTATAAGTGTTCATTGATTACAAGTGTTTTACATTCTACAAGTGTTTAAGAGTTTATTTTGAAACCAAAAGAGAGTAAAAAACATGCTGAGGTGAAAATTTTCCATGAACCTACATAGTTTTTTAAGATATAAACATATGAAAAACCCATAAGAAGTCTGACCTTAAGTTTTACCTCCATCATATTATCTATCTATCTATTGAGAGAGAGAGAGAGAGAGAGAGAGAGAGAGAGAGAGAGAGAGAGAGAGAGAGAGATATTAGTGTATTCCACAGTATAGGATGGAAAATAACATTGAGCACCTTTATTACTTGCGAAAGTGAGAGAAAAATAGAGAATAGTCAGTACAATCACTGTTGAAATTTCACAATACTGACCTAATGTCCCTTTGGGCCCAGAGCTGGGTAGTGAATGTTTTGGGAAATGACAGCCCATCAGGTGGCCATCATCATTAGTATTGAGTGGGGAAAATAGTGACTCGTATTGAGTAAAATCCCACTAACCTTTACCTCCAGGGCAACTGTGTTGCCTTTACACTTGCCTGCTCACTAATGTACCAAACACAGATGTGATGTTGTTTGTTATGACTGACTGTAAAGAGTGCACAGATGGATATTAGAAACACACCACTCAGTATAATGTTATTCAATTCAACACCACCATTAACAGTCTCAACATGTACCAGCTGATTGTTTCTGAGCCAGTGTCAACAAAAACATTAAAAAAAAAAAAAACAGCAAAGATTTATTACAGGTTAAACATCAACTTTAGACTTAAACCTGGTTTTTATCTGAAACACCAGAAATAATAGAATAACACTTTATTGTGCCATATATATGTGCAGTGAATTTGTGGAGGATGGTGTAAGCTGTGGTGGGAAACAGACTTCCATTCCTATATGTCACGTGCCTATGACGTATAGGTCAATGGGAACGGCTTTAGGTCTTGGCCTCTGTAAACATTTTGGGTCATATTGAACAAAAGATTAAGTCTGTTTTGTAACTCTTGGTAATACCATGCTTCAAAATGGTGAATTCTCTATCATATAAAAATTGTTAATCTCAAGTTGCTAGCCAATGAGTGCGTGGTTTCACAGTCAGACCTACCCCTCTCTACATCTTGTTTTTACTCTTCTTTTGCAGTCAAGGTGGCAGAAACACTCACGCCAAGGCTTATAAACAACACTTTGGAAGCCAGTCATGACATCACTTTTATTCTTCTCTATGCTATAGATGAGGTTATGCATCATCAATAAAGGTTGGCTAAGTAAACTTTTATGCAGAAAAAAGCTTTAGTATTTGACTCAGTACTTCAAAGCAAAGTCTTACAGGTAAGGCAGGTGACAGAAGGTAACAGAACCCCCAAGGAACAATAGATGTACGGCAGTTGGTCAGGCCTTACCTCCTGTTTCCAGTAGTAACGGGAACCCTCCAGCCTTTGATCTGGCTAAGCTCAGGGTCAGCCACATCAATACGCAAGGGCAGACGGGGCATCCATACACTCATCTCCAGCTGGGCACTCAGAAAACCATATGTAAAGTTGAGCATTATCCTACTTTTCCCTCTGGTTTCCTTCCCATTTAGATATACATAGCTGCAGCGCTCTGACACCTGGAAAGAAAAATAGAGAAGAAAGATAATGAACAAAGGCCTCAAGAAGTATGTCTTGGTTCACAAACTCAGAGTTGCTCGAAAACTTTGTAAATATACCGAACAAGAAAGTTATTTTAAAATGTACACAGGAGTCACTTGACCAGAACTGGGACTGGACTGTCATCTAGTGATGTGAAATCAATATTCTCTGGATGTACCCTGGTCAAGGTCTTTTAATGTAAAGCCTATGCAAACTCAATAAGTTTGAATATATATATGATGAGAGGGTAGAGGGGACAGAATCGCCAAACCCAATAAGGCAAAACCACACACATACCAACATTTTATTAATTTCACACCACTTTCAAAGTCTGGCCTGGGAATTGCAGCGTGTTTGTGTTTATGTCATGTAAATTCACATCTGTGGTCTCTATGAAACTGTTACTGAATATAAATTAGCTCTCCTTTATGACTGTTCCTGTAATGCCTTACTGTAGGTTGGAGTGCCACAATCCCCACCAGCGAGCGCAATGAGGTGAGACACAGCAGTTGGTGTGTTTTATTTAAGATTGGAGGCCTATCTCCACTGCCGCCGTACTTATCTTAACAAACCAGTGGCTCCACAGAGGTAATTGGAGAGCACTAGACTGGAGAATAGAATGGAGCACTGGAGAGAGGGAGGCAAAAAGAAGGAGGGAAAAAGTGAGGAAAAAGCAAGAGGAATGAATTCTGAAGCAAGTCGAGCTGAACTCTCATGGAAATGATGACAGAGGGCAGTTCATCATGCTAACTGTTCATGACTCAGATTTCTTGGGCAGCTCTCCAATTCAACTTCCTCTTCTATAGTCAGCAGACGATTTGACGGTGGAAGATGAGGGATGCTATATCTACTGCTAGCAAATAGATCAAACGCATTTCTTTTTAACTTACCACCCCTCATTCATGTGATAGCACAGGAAAGAATGCACCAGTTGTAAATGTTCACCCACCTCATTGATCCTTTATCCGACTTAGATAAATGACTGTCCGTGGGCCTGAACAGTGTTGTATATAAACATGATTTTCTTATTTATTTATTTTTTTGCAACATGTTGCTAGTCAGATAGTTATTTTGTCACCTTATTACATATGTTTTCAATTATCTGTATAATGTGCAGACTTCAAACTATCGATTTACTAGATTTACTATTTATCATGTCAAAAGTTGCAGAGCAGCCCACAATTTTAAGGGGTGAAGATACAAACATTAATTCAAATTTATTCCAGCAAGGGACAAGAGTGTGACAGAAAAAAAAAATACAGACCAGCAACAACTACCCACACCCTGATATCAAAGCTTACCAAGCATGTGGAAAGACATAAACTAAACCTAATTAAAAGGTGGTAGCAAAAGATCCTTAGAACCAAACTGGGTGTATGCTGTCCATAAACAAGAAACTAAAGCTTGATATTTTAAAGAGCCAACAAGTAGCAATTATACAATCACATTACATTTTTAAGTAATATAGTAATATAAATGTACTGTATTGCTTTACTAAACCCAGTAACCACATTACAATTGTAGTTATGTTATCACATGTGTCAAGCTTCAGTTATCTACATGATAGACAGCTAAAAATACAGTCCAATATGCCTTTTCTTCTCCTACACACTTGCTCTTCAATCAGCTGAATCCGGTTGTTCAGTCTGACGTCACTAGCCGTGTCTGGGCCTAAACTCCGCTGCAGGTCCATATATCAAACGATCACTATGGCATTACTGTGAGTTGAAAAACTGTCTAAAGTCTTTCATCTTTAATAGAATGATCAGCGTTCTGCTCTACCAGGTGTAACAATTGAGTTTAACATCCAGGCATCCATGAAAACAGAATTTATGATATTTAACGGAGTTAGAAGTTAGCAGGGAGTTAGCTCGCTAGCTTCTATCTAAATACAATATAGCATGTCCTGACTGCGGGGTTTTGGAACCAAATTAAAACGTACAGCTCTGTTATCACTTCCAGCATAAATGAAGACAGAAAACTAAACAGCAGTGACGTTTGTAGGGTTACTGAAGTTTGGCTAGCTGGTATATAATGATGTGCTACGTGACCGCTAGCGACACAGCTATGTTAGCATAATATAAACAAGCTAACTTTTTTTCCTCTCGATAAAAGTTGGCAGGATGCTGTAAAAGGACCAAACTTCAGCCAGGAGAACAACTGAGATAATCCATCCACAATACGAGGTTAGTCATTCATATACTGCTGCATGGGCTGGGCTGTAGTTACATCCTAAGGTATTAAAAACTGAGCTTAAATAAATGATTAGCGGTAATAAAAGCCGAGGGAGGTCAACAGGGATCACTGACTGTTTTAGGAGCTTTTTGAGATTAAATAGAAGAAAATACATAACATTAAACATGTTAACAACACAAAAGCCATATTAAACGCAGACTACTTTAGGCCCGGAAGTAGGATTCGTCACAACATCACTTAACGACCGGATTCGATTCATTTCCAAGGAGGAGAAAAATGGTGGTCCGGTCTACAGTTTTTGAGATATAACCATTAATAGTATCTACACTGCACAATAAGAAAAGAGCACAATAATAAAGCACAAACTATGTCCAGGACAGAAAAAAGCTGCGCTATACTGCTAACACAACACTGGTTCTTTGCAACCATCTGCACACACTGCATACAAACACAAAGCTAGCAAAGAACTCTGTTTGATGAAGCTGAGTGCATGCTGACTTGCAGCCCAGCAGCCTGAGTTTTAGCAGGTAACAAAAGGAGTGATGTGCAGTCAGGTTTGTATACGCAGTTTCTCCCTGTACATGTTTTAAAGTCCCTTTGGGAATGTTTTTAACTTGTTAACAAACCTAAACAATGACAATTTATTTTAGGCTATGTTGCAGAGTGCATTGAATTACCTCCACTGGGGAGTAGCTAAGTAAAAAAATGCATTACTTTTAAGAAAAGTAATGAGTAATGTGTAAAATCAATTATAATTAATACATTATTTCTGTGTTTATTAAATGCCTCTCAAGCCAATTCAAACAAAGGCCTAACCAAGTCATCTCCCCGCCTCCCCCTCTCCTACTATGACTAGAAAGGGAAGCAGGGATTTCTGAAGGTGTGAGGTATAAGGAGCACTCGAAGAGATCAGAGGCACACAGTGGCATTGCCAGCTTTGTGAATTTGTTGCAAGGAAGGCATCAGGAGGACCACTTGACCCTCATTTATTTTCAAAACGAGGATATTGCCTTGGATTTTACTGGTGTCCAGACAATTAAATATGCATAAAACTTGAGTCATGACACGTAATTTAAAATACTACGGGGATTTGTGGGTCCTGCTTACAGTGTATTGTGAGAGACATGAGAAAATGCTACCTGAATAAACTCATTCCACTGCATAAACTTTTACTGTGTATTTACTTATTACTTTAACATGCAGTTATAAAAAGATAATTGGAAAGTAGGAAAAGAAGGATGTTAACTAGAGGAAATTGAAATTGCACAATTAGATATTCTTTATACTGCAGTTTTATTCTTTTAACTGTGCATCTTTTCTTCTGTACTTCAGCCTATTGCATATTTCAGCCTATCAGATATATTTCAGAGCAATGAATTTTAATAATAGTGAATGTTTTATCTACCATTCCCAGCTTGTGTTGTTTTCTGTTGATCTCTGTTTGGGAGACTGCTGAAATGTGTTGGAATGGGCAGTCCATGAACTTCACGTTGTGTAAATTGCTTTCTTTCTGTTACATTATTATGCTTCCTAAATTCACCATAAAACTATTTCAGGTTAGAGGGGTTTAAAAAAAAAAAAAACTATGTATCAATGCATTAGTAAAGTACTACATGAAAAGTGTTAATTCTTCCTTTTCGCATCATGAGACAAGAATGCATGCATTAGAACTATAGGATAAAAGGTCAGTATAATATTTTAACACAAAAGCTGTGTTCAGCCTGGGTGCTGGATATATATATTAAGTTTATACAAACACGGTTTATACAGACAGGAACACATGGTATTTTTAAAATCTCTAACAAAAGGATTTTATGAGGTAATTCCAGGAATCCTCTAAGGTTTTGACCAAAAACAGAGAAGTTGATGGCATGCTTGAAGGACAACAACAATCTATCAGCTGCAGTAAATATGGAAATACAGCAATATTTGTTTTAAGATATATAACAACAACACCCAGAAACACTCATGTCCTCACTGGGCCAAAGTTTATTTAAAGTGGACTGAAGGAAAGTGGAAATCTGTTCTGTGGTCAGACCAATTGAATTTTGAAATTCTTTTTGGAAAACATGGCACATCTGGAAGGGCACCATCAATATAGATAAAGGTGTTAGAGCAACATATGATGTGTTCAGGGAAGACCTTGCATATTTCAGAAAGACAACCACATACTGCAGCTATTCCAACAGCATGATATCAAAGTAGAAGAGTCCAGGTGGTCAGCGTGCCTGTCCACAGTCCAGACCTTTCAGCTATTCAAAACATTTGGCCCATCTAGAATAAAAAAATACAACATAGAAGACCCCAAACCAGAGCAGCTATAATCCTATATCAGACAAGAATGGGACATTTCTCTAGCAATTGGTCTCTGCAAGATTAGGAACAAGCCAGAATTTTAAATGTGTTAATGTGTTGGGATGCCTAAAAATATCCAATGTGTTTTTTTAAGACTGCATTGAAGAAATATGTTAATTCAGATATGCTGCATGAAATTATCCCACTGGTCACAATTATGCATTCTCAAAATAAGAAAAATAAAAAAATAAAATACATTAAAAATAATAATAATAAAAATAATGGCTGATTATTTCAAAGGGTCACTAATGT